TCCCTGTCCCAGCCATCTCCTGTGTTCCCACTGGCTCCAGGGCAGCTTAGTCTGCGCTCTTCAGAAAGAGAGGAGGAGGTTTCCCTAGTATGAGAAATGTTCATGGGTACAGTTGTGATGTTTCCAGCAGAAGCACCGTTTCAGTAGCTTGCACAAGCTAAAGTAATTGCGTGAAGTAAGATGGTTCAGTTTCTCGGGAGCTGGCTGTAGTAAAAAGTACTCATCAGGTAACCAGCTACACCGGTTATAAGTGAGCATTTCTCCTGGCATTCTGCTAACTTTTCCTTTGAATTTTGTGAGTCATGCCACAATGTAAGGTTTAGACACATTTTCCACACACCAGTAAACCAGTATTAAACAGGAAAAGTTCCTAAGAAACAATCATGATGAAAGGCTAAAACATTTTCCACAGCTTTCAAGTTTGTCTGTGCAAATTTCAGATGACCCCAAAACACCATCATTTTTCCCTCACACATCACATCTTTCTAAAAGGGCTGTTATTTGATGAGTAATATTTTTCTCCACCATTTTCATTTTGTCTCAGTCTGCAGGCAGGAGACTTCCAATGGCCATGTATGAAGTTGACTTCAGGCTGGGAAAGACACTGTGTCAAAATAGTACAGGAAACCTCTGTGCTTACAAGCTTGAAGAAGTGGTTGTATACAGAAGAATTTTGACTTTCAGCATAGTTCACCCTTTTCAGAAATGGTGGGGGTTTTTAAGTAATTCATTAAAATAATATACAATATGGTGACAAAAGAAAGCTCTTTATCGGTAGCTCAGAATGGTTGTTAAAGGCAATGTGGTTTCTTAACTCAAAGTACTTTATTCAGGGTTTTTCTCCCCCACATGGTCAGTGTAAAACACAAGCAATAGAACCCGTTCCACCAAAGAAGTAAAACCCTGTTGATAGCTCTAGTGGTTTCTCTTGAGAAATTTGAAACGTAATATAGCTGTAGTCCTGTTGACCTGCAGCCAACTTCCCATGGCAGAGGAGAATTATAAAAAGTAAAGGTCTCTCTGGTTCAGTTGCATACCTCATGGAATTACTTTTTTTTCCCTGAAAGCCAAGTGTAGTAATAAAGCTGTGAGCCAGTGGAACTTTTCCATTATTTTTCTTTCTGTATTTGCCACTACAAAGAGTGTATTTTATAATACATATAAATAAATATATATGTGTATATATTAACCCTTATGATACTGATATTTTGAATGACTAGGGTCACACTGAAAGATGTCAGAGATGGTGGAATGAGAAGGAGAAGGGTATGAAGGCTGGAGTATCATCAGGAGATCTGTGAAAGTCTGAAGTACCATTTCAAGTGTGCCATTGGGGAGGAGGTTCAAATCAAAGCCAGTGGAAAGAACCTCCTAACTTCTTGCAGCTTGATGGTGGTCAACTTTACTCCTAAAAGGTATTTTAAAGCCCTTTATGCTAGTGTTCTATAGCTAATACATTTAGTGGAGCTCTGCTTTACACCGTCTCAGGTTGGCTGTCTACAGATGACCCGTAAGCAGTGTCTGAAGTTTGCTCATGTGGCTCTTAACTTCTCTGTTTCTGATTAAAATCCTCATCATATGGAGCAAAGGACCTTTCAATGGGTTTTCTAGGGTTTGCCAGATTGCTTCAGACCTTTTTAGCTACCACCATGTTTTCCTGGATTTATATATCTCTTTACAGTATTGAATTGCTAAGAGTTGTGTGCAGAGCAAAGATCTTTGAAGTGGCACATCAAAGACAGAATTTGATGTCTTTGCATTAACAGACCAAAATCACATTTCTCTGGATAGCAAAAAGAGGCTCCACCCATGAAGGAAGATTCTCAGAGGAAGATTTCCTATGTCTTGTGATGAACCAAAGGGGTCACGTTTTTCTTAGTGAGATTACTGCATCCACCTTCTAGGAATCTGTGGTGACTTCTTACAGGACTGCAATTTATACAAAACCAGGGTAAGGGCTGCATAGGTTGAGAGAGTGCCTCATCCTGCTGTCAGCTCCATGAAAGTAACTGAATGGTTGTAGAAGAGACTAATGGGTGAGCCAAACAACTGGAACAAAAGCAGAGAAGAAAGCTTAGAACAGACCTATGTAAATGGTGGACTCAGGTCTGAATCTGGGCAGATCCCAGACAAATAATGCCTGCTGCATTCCTGTTCAAGGTTTCAATATTTCTTACTCTTCCCCTGTCTCTTGGGGACCAGCTTAAGAGCACCCTTACAATTCTTAGCTGTGAGGGCAGTGTGCAGTGCAGAGCTAGAACAAGAACACTGAGATTTTTTGCTAAATGGACTTTGGTAAAAATGAACTTAGTAGTCCTGGCTCAGGTGCTAGGATAGGGCAATCACGGAGGTCAGCAACATGAACTCAATGGATCCAAACAGTGGAAAGTGTTTTATTTCCATCAGTTCATCAGACAACTGCCTCCCAACATAGTTATCCGTTGTTAATGGATTCTATGTAGGCATTGCAGCTATGTTATTTATTTTGCAGCCTGGCACAGATTAGTAAATTCTCTGGCAACTCTGCTCCAAGGCTTCGAAAGCCTTTATGAAGGGCATCAGTAGGCAAGCCATGCTCAAGAAAAGCTGTGGTAGCACAGTACCTTTGCGAAGCCTCCGAAAGACTGGGGGGAGTCCCAGACCTACTCACAAACATAACCTGTGGAGGCAGGCATGAAGTTGCCTCCTATGGATTCTGTTTGAAGATTTCATTGAGCTAGATCGCCTCCTGCTGCCTCATGATTTGGGAAGTGGATAGCATTGCTTTCCACACTGACTGGAGGAAACCATGAACAGGAACTTACTGGAGTTTTTCTTTTTCTACGGGTATTTCCAGTGGTTGTGGAGAGGTGGAGATCACCTGCTTTTATGTCATTTAGCAAACTCCTGTCTGTATCATTTGCTGGTTTCTTAAAGCATCCCTGCCAATATATCTCTCCTATCAACCATATAAATTTTGTATTCCTTTTCCCTCAGAGGTGATTTTCCATATGGAATATGGAAATTTCCATATGGAATATGTATAGGAAGGGTTAAAATCTTGAAGCTATTGAGTCCTTTTTGATTTGACATTGTTGAGTGAGCTGCAGAAAGCCTACCTGTTCTTGAGCATGCTGCAGAGTAACTAAAAACAATGGAACAAGAGAGAAACTGAAAAATCCAGTCCCAGTTCTGTGATAACAGCAGAGATATTTGTGAAACTGAAGTGCTCTTTCTGGACTTCAGGTTGGGTTGACACTGTATTTGCTATCATGTTTGAGAACTGTTTGTCTTGTGTTTGTTAACTATTGAGTTTCTTTTCTGAGTTTTTGGAAGTGAAAGAAGTTCTTATGTGGGCTGCAAGTGGAGAGTTTTGTGCAGGACCAAGGCAAGACAAGGACAACATTTTTTTTCAGAGATCTTTTATTCTATTTCAGAGGTTTGTCAGTTTAAGATAGTGTGTTTATATGGCTGTGTTAAACCTGTACAAGACAATGATAGTGACTTTTCTTTTTGCATCAGAAGCTTTCTTAGTTCTTAGACAGATTTCAGCTGTAATCTTTATTGCAAGTTTTATTTAAAGTTTTTGCAGACTGTTCACAAAGGAGAAACCAAATGTGGTATCTACAGACTGGTAAGTAGAGTACTTCATTAGGGTGAGACAGGTACACAGACTGAAACAAAGGAGTTTTTCATCTTTTTCCTCTACTTAACTTACTTGAATACACTATCTCTGAGAAGACAAAAGAATTAAGAGAATGATTTACATCAAGGAATTGCTTGGTGCATGCTCAGTCACTGAAGATAAAAATCACAGCAATTTGTTTGCCATCTATTGCCATCAACAATGCAATTGGCAGCTCTGATTTAGACTATCAGGCAGCTGACAATTTCCATCTCCTTAGCTCTGTCTGTCCCAGTCATCTGACTAACCTTGTACAATCAATCCTAGCATCTGACAGAGGCTTGGGACTTTGATGAAACTAAGAGTATCAGCCTTGGAGTGCAAAAGAAACCAAGAATATCAGCCTTGTTGGTTTGAGAACGCAATATGAAATGGTACTATCTTTTACTGCGATGGCCGTTCAGTTGTTGTTTGTTCTTTCAGCTTCTCACCTGGCATACATTTAAGATCCAAATAAGAACATATTAACTACAAAGCATGGTAGTGACTAAGATTGCCATTTTCTGTTCCTCAATGGGAATGAAATTCAATAAGATTGAGGTACCTCACCTGCATCATTGCTTCTAGCAATCCTGTTAGACAAATATTTAGTAAATACCTATGTACTTTAATGGTAGAAAAAAATCTGTCTTTCTGGTTTTATATGGATTTTTAATTGACCCTTAATAATCAGGATAGAAAGTGGCATGTTTACAGGAAAAGCTAGAAAAAGTTTAAGATTTTTGACTCCAGTTGGCTCTTCTGCGTAATATAACATTGCTACCTTAAAGTAATTATTTATTTTGAGTTGCCTGAAATAGAGAAAACCAAAAAGGCATAAGAACTAGAGATGGAACAACCGATTAAAAGGGAGATTTTCGAAATTTGTCACAATGTGGATTAAGTTTTCAGAATGTTTTTTCCCTGAAACCACTTTTTCTTGCATAGTATCTTGGGGTAACTTTGTAAAGATTCCTCAGAGAACTGATATCAGGGCAATATTGATAATACATTTTGTCTGTCTTATAGTTCAGAAAGCCACTGAAGAGCAGTATTTTATGAGGTACTGGGTAGATGTTGGATGTGCAACCATTTAGAGTCTGACCTGATAATGTTAATTTCAACACAGAAGTAAGACCACCAAAGGGTGATGGGTTTTGGGTTTTTTGGTGGAGGGGAGGGTTTGTGGTTTTTTTTAATTTATATGTTTACTGGTGGATTATGGAATAAATTGTCCAAGACAATATGGTACTTACTAGAAATCCAGGAATGATCTTATAGGCTGGAATACCTGGGAAACTAGCAAGACCTTTTTGCTACTTATTAATTAGCATAGTTTTGTACATAGGCAGGTACCATGATCACAGTTAGACTTGCTGGAAAAGGATGTGCCACTCCCCTCAGTGGTAAGGTGAGAGTAAAGTTACCATAGGTCCCTAATAAAGAATTTCCTAATGCAGCACTGGGAAGACTTGAAGGTGTCTTGAGAAACAGGATTGTTATTTCTAGGAAATTGAGCAGTGGCTGTCATTGGTAGTGAAAATCAGGATGGATGCAAGAATTTTGAACAAAGAAACCTTACTTTTGTACTAGGAAAGTGTAACAGAAAGAAATAATTTGTCACAGCTTTTGTGAACCTGTGTCGTGTGGTTATATACCACCACGCAGTAGCTCACAGTCTCGCTTTGCACTCAAAGACACTGTGCTGCAGGCTCATGCCAGGACACCCTTCTCTATTCCTGTGTGATCACCATGTAATTCTCACATTTGCTTTGAATTTACCCTTGCGTTCCCTTCTCCTGTGACGTGATTTAGTCAATCTCATATATCAGTGTTTGGATTAAGTCAGAGGTTTGTGTGTAACAGGGAGGCAAGTTTTGTAGGGAGGCCTACTGTATTTTATTAGACCAGCTGATTTAATGGAAAAACTTTTGGACTCACAAATCCAGTATATTCTAGGGGGTGTGTATATAAAAAGGGTATTGTTCTGTAGGAGGACAGACCTGCTCCTCCTTGGCTGGGATTGCTCTGTCATGTTCACTCTGCAGGAGGTAGGACAGATGGTAAAATAAACCAACCAAGACATGGATGTGGGGAAAGCAGAGTAGTGGAGCAGAACCATTCAGTCTCACCAACAGCTAATGCTTGCCAAAGTGCTATCCAAGTAATCAGAAATCTGTGTCTGCTCCCACACTGACTGCTTCGTGCAGTAAAATCATTGGCTAAACCTCTCTTGACTATCCAGTTGTCCCAGTTTCATTGAGGGAAGTGATGGATACAGATTTTTTGCAACTCATGATATGCATCATTTATGATCATGTTTGCATCATAAATGTTGTTAACAGGTCCCTGTGACAACGGTGAGAAGATGCTGAAGACATGGTATTCTATCCTGCTGTGTTGGCTGTCCTTGCAGCTTGAGGCTAATCCTGGTCTTAAAGTGAGGATTACTCAGAAGGGGCTGGACTACGGTATGTCTAACATTGCCAGAAGTTAATTTATGATAAATACTCTATACACAGAATATAGTTCCTTAATAAAGGTGCAATGTAGAAACAAGCTCTTTAAATTTTGAAATGGAATAAATTCCTTTTGTCACCTCACACCAGGAACACCCTTGGTCTCTTCTTTCACTTATTTCCTTCCTTTTCGTGCACCCCAGGTGTGAATTTATCCTTGCATTGGTGATTGCATTATCCTACAGTCCAACAGTGTTTCTACTACATTCCTCATATCAATCTACTTTCTTAAAACCCAAATGACATGGTCATATAATTGCTTCTTCTTTAAAAGTATCAAAATCCTGATTGAAAGTGCAATATTTAATTGAAGATAATAAGACATAATTGGGAAAAAAGCTTACAATTTTGGAACAGCCACGTAGCTGCACACCTTTACTCTAATTCCTCCATTTGGCGTGGGTTAGCATCTGCATGTGCCATTCTTTCAAAAAAACCTAGTAACTCTCTGCCATAATTCTGCCCCTTAACAGAATATCAGCAATTTCCACAATATATTTTCCATGCTCTTTCTATTCATGCTAACTTTCACTGTCTCTTACCTAAGACTTACTGCATGGGTGTGGAGGGCACGCAGTATAATTTCAATTGTTTACAGAATTAATATTAATAATAAAGGTTAACAAGACACAAATTCAACAAAGGCTGGGTCATGCTAAGGATTAATCGTCACTGATGTACTGAACATGCTGACAGGTAAACAATGGACTGGTGAGATGAAAAGTAGAAGCTCAGGGTTTATGCCTTCGAGATGAAAGCAAGGATCAGGTACACTTATTTCTCTGTATAAGCATTGTTTTAAAGGCTTTCGAGGAGTTGAGAAGTGCAGGGCAAACATCAGTCACCCAAAACAGAACTGATCTCCATACCTTTTTATGGCACACAGGAGAAATCGCTCCCTAGGGACCTCTCATGCCTTTAGAAATGAGAATTCAGCCTGGTATTTCTTAGTGTGAGCCCAGCAGTTTTTGTGACATTCAGCATGGCCTTCAAGTGCTGAACGAACAGACTAAGTTTGCACACCCCTGCATTAGTAGTAAGAACAGACATTAACAGTGCACCTCCCAGAGGTATTTCTCGTATTTGAAGAGCATGGTGCCTGTCATGTCTTTTCCCTTAACATGATATTTGAAGGCTGAGGCAATAGATCTTGCCTTGCACGCTCCTTGCATGCTGCAAGAACCTTGAGAGAAATTCCACCTGGGATCACTGGCTGCCTTCACTGACAGTCATAAGAAAGCTTTAAGTTATTTCAGTCAGAGCCCGTATTTTGCCTTGGAGGCAGGAATTCCCAGGGAATAATAACTTACCTCTCCTTCATAAAAGATGTATTTTATAAAAAGGTATTCCAGTGTTGAGTTATCATTGATTTCAATTCTTTGCTTTTTTAATACACTGAAGTCTGGGGGAGAAAAAAATAGATATTTTGTATTCCGCAACTGTGAGGCCAAAAGCTAAAGAAACTCATGCTAAAATATATGAAAGCAGGACATCGTTCAGTATTAAAGTTGTAGCAGTGTCTTCATCAAAGATGAGCAAAATTAAGGAAGACACAAGGAATTTAGTATTTAAAGTTGTTCTGCTTGTTGATGATAGGGTCTGTGTATATTATGAATGCACAAATAGCATTGAAGCATTCAAGAAAGGGATTCCTTAAAGCAAGGAGAGAAGGTAAGGAAATAAGTCAGAGATCTGCAGCGTGCTGTAATGGATAAAGTGCAGTGGCAAAACGTATGTACTCTGAAAGAAACGGGAGGAAAACATTTAAAAGGATTGTCTTTAAACCTCAAACAACTTCCTGTACACAAGCAACAATCCAGATAGTTCCACATTTGACATACCAGCACTTCAGATGCATATATCACACTTTTTCTGAAAGTAAACACTACATAGAGAAGTCATCTTGCTACTTCTTAACTGGCTTTTTCGTTCAACAGGTATGAGACAATCTGAGTTAAAGGTGTTTTCCAAGGCTTTCCACATTGTCAGCAAAGTGAAGGAAGTATAACAGTTTCAGAAACCTGACAAGAGTTTTAGAATATAAAATGCAACTCGGAGGCAAGATGATCTTGGTTAAATGACTTGTATGTGAGGCTAATAGAAGTTATAAATGGGTGTAGTTGGAAGGAGGTCTAGGTAAGGGTTTAAGAATCAGAGGTTTTTATGAACTATGTTGAAAGTGATTAAATTATTTGGCAGTTTATCTGGACCTTTGGGTGCCTGAATCCAATCTGCAAGGCATGTGCTTTCCTCTGTCCCCTTGTAGGCAGGAGGATTGGGATGGAGCTCCTGAAGCAAGCAGTATTGAAAGAGACCTTCCCAAGCTGGAGTGGGCAGGAGAGTTTCTCAGTTGTTAAAGTCAACTATGTAATTTCAAGGTAAGTAAAGGAAATACATTTCAAAGTTTTAGGATGAAACATCTTATTGTATTGTTACTGCATAGTAATAATTACGCAGCCATTTTTTTTTGTTCGGTGTAAAATTCTAATGGTTCATCTAACTCTGGTGCCACTGCCCAAACACTGATTTGTTTTATAAGTACTTCCTCCTACCACACGCAGAGATGGGCTTTAGAAAGCTTCTGAAGGAGCACCTTGGCAGTTTTTTTAGTTGGTTTGTCTCAGAGTTTGGGGCAAGGCAGGTGTAAGCATGACTATGACAGAGCAGGGGAAATGGGTGGGAAAGAGGGAAGAATCGGTGTTATTCACAGTCTGCTACTATGAAGGACCTGTAGGAGTGAAGGTAATTTGTTTGTGTTCAATGAAAAAAAGCCGACAAAGGGTAAGATGAAAATGTGTGCAGGGGGATTGTGTATCTGGGCTGACATGGCAGGAAGATGACTTTTACAGAATCTTTTTGGATGGATTTACAATGGTAAATCAGCATTTTGATTGGATAGGGCTCCTGCTGAGGTAAATCATTGTACCAGAAGCAGCCAGTAAAAAAACAGGTTTATAGAGTTTCCTACAATTTCTCCAAATAAGGAGACCAATATAAAAGGTTTCTCTACAGCCTTCAATCCCATCTTCCAGTTAAAGCTTTTCCAATAGGCTATAAACAGAAAAACAGAAACTTCTGGTCTTTTAATACTACTATCAAGCCAAGCTCTGCTGCTCAGTAGCATTTTACTTCCTTTTCCTTACAAATTACCCAGAGCAAGAAATACCAATCTGGGAGACTTCATGTACTTTCTGCTGGATAGGGCCCGCATCCTTTATCTATACCTAACATTTTCCTAATAGCCTGCTTTCTGGCAGGCTTCATTGTATTATACCACCCTTGCAACCTTAATCCCTGCACACCTAAAAGAGCTGTGTTTGGACAGTCTGGAGAAGAAGACACTATGGGGGTGGAGGTGTGTGTGTCTTACTGCATGTCTTCCACTCTCTGCTGGTTGGTGATTATAGAGAATATGGAGCCAGATTCTTCCTGGAGGTACACAGTGAAAGAATCATGGGCAACAGACATAAGTTACATCAAGAAAAGTTCCAATTAGAAGTTAGGAAAAAATGCTAGGGAGCACCAGAACAAGGGCACAAAGAGGTTGGGGAATCTCCATCCTTGGAGTTTGTCAAGACTCAAGTAGGCAGGGCCCCTGAGTTGGCCCAGCTTTGAGTAGGGAGTTGAACCAGAAAATCTCTTGAGGTCCCATTCCAACATAAATTATTATATGATCTTCAAAACCCCAATTCATTCTCCCAACCATAGTTCTTGAAATTGGCCATCTTCCCAGTGGAAAATCTGATTTTAGATCACTGCAAACAAGATTACTAAAGGCAGCCTTACTGCTGCCCAAGATGTTATTGGAAAATTATGGTCATTTTAACTAAAAGTAGCTGGTACCTTCTGCCCTGGGGAAAGTAGATTAAAGGCAGTTGTTTCAGAGATCTCTGCCAGATATCAGGAAACAATAGGAATGTGTACTACATGATAAGATTACAGCTGATATCTTTACAATGTTAATTCAACACACCCATTTGCAAGACAATATCCTTGAGTATCAGAAACATTTGTTTTGGCAGAGAAACCTTCAAGTAAGATTTTGTTCGGAAAAATGGATCCTCTCCAGAGCCCTTTGCTGAGGCAAGGGAGGGGATTCAGAATGGGGAAAGAGAAACTTTTATGTTCTTCAGCACATGCTAGCATTCAGACAACCTGCATTTATTTATAGATGTAGCATCTGGGTTTAACACACAGACTTATTTTCGCACAGCAGGCCCATTTCACTTTAAGGAGTTTGTTTTTCTCCCAAAGGGACATTTTTGTTTTGGCCAAGCATCCTTTCTTCTGTGGGCAGATATCAAGGATTCTTTTTCCAAGGATGCTACTAAGTGTAATGGTACAGGTGTCTTTCTTTCCTAAAATATACAAGGGTCAGTCATTTCTGAGAAATTCTTTTACCGAAGCATAGACTTTGCTTTTTATAGCAGAAGGGGTTTCAGTGATCAGAAGTCCTTTTTACTCTTTTGACATGCAGTCTAACATGCCCCTTTCTGTATTCTGTAGGCTCAGAATTAATGCTGTAGATTTCCCAGAAACTTCTGCTTCCTTTATTCCTGGCATTGGCATTAGTCTGTCAGTGGCACATGCTTCTGCTACAATCAGTGCAGACTGGAGAATGAACGCATGGCTGCTGTAAGTATTGTACAGTGTGATGCAGGTGCGGGGGACAGTTCTGGGAGAAGGATTGCAAATGAAATTCAAATGAAATTCAGAAATCTAGTTGGTAATTATTATTTTTCAGGTCAGATATGTTTTATCATTTAACAACAATCTATTTGAATAAACTTCTTAAGAAGGAAACATCCCTTGCCAACCAATGCTTTTTATTCTTTTTTTTTAATTATTCTACCCCACAGGTTGTCTCTTTGGGAAGTATCAGGTCAGACATCAGTTAGCATGCTCAATTTGTCCAGACTGTATATTACATGATATTACATGAATATTCAGAACCACAGAATTTGCAGTGGCCACATTTGTTACTTTCTTTGTACAGGATAACTGGAAGGTTGACTCTATGGCTAATTATCTATTTGCTGATACAGTGTATATTGTCTTCCAAAGTGGTCCTATTAAAGGAAGGGCACTGTCACAATGCCAAACATTCAGAACTTCAGAAACTCCAGAATTCGGGTCGCTACGGAAAGCTGACTTAGCTTCATGAGCATGTGCAGTATGAGATTGTCTTTAATGACATGATTGCATACTGATTTTTCCGCTTTTTTATCTCAGCATTTTTGCTATAGAATTTTAATACAATATTCTAGATTTTCTTGGGAACGGGGCGGGGAGGGGAGTGCTAAAACTTCTGGGATGTCAGAAAAGTTTGCAAGGTGATAATCTCTACAATTTGGGTTAATGGAGTAACTGGTAACAGCAGTAGGCGTTGCTCTATTTGCACAGTACAGCAAGATGGATCACCAGGCTGCAAGTTTCACAGCATGTCCTGATTTCAAAGGAGCACAAACATGCAGTTCTGCATTCAGTCTCAATACTGCTGTCACTGTGCCCGCAACCTGTCTGTTGTTCCTTCTGTCATACCAGTATTGTGAGGAAAAGGATACTGTGTTCAGCAGTTGCAAATCGGCTGTACCCAAACACGAAGCCACCTCTCCTCTTGCTGAAGGATAAGGACCTGGGCATGATCTGGAGAGACCCCAGCTGTAGAAAACTCCAAAGACTTCACAGACAGCAAGGGAGGCAGGGAGCTGGTATGCAGGATTTGGCGGAGCAGATCGTGGTGGAGGTGGTGAAAGCCAGCTTTGGTAGAGTTTAGGGGTTGAAGGGTTTTTCGTGCCTTTTTGAGGGGCAGAAGGAACAATCTGTGCTGCTCTGTTCAATGTGATGTTTTGTGAATGGCTGTAGGTTTAGACAGATCCAGAATATGCCCTACTCTTCATCCCCTCCGTTCCCAAGTCCTACATGTTGCTTTCAGCATAGCAGACTAAGAGGGGGCAGCTGAAAATGAGCTTTCCAAGGGAGACCATTGACAACTGTCGTGGTTTAACCCCACGCAGCCGCTCACTCACCCTGCCTCCGGTGGGATGGGGGAGAGAATCGGGAGGGCACAAGTAGGAAAACTCCCGGGTTGAGATAAAAACAGTTTAATAATTGAAATAAAACAAAATAGAACAGTAATAGTAACAGTGAGAACAACAGCAATAACAGAATATACAAAGCAGGCGATGCACAATGCAACTGCTCACCGACCACCGACGGCGGGGTGGGGGCGACCCCCCCCCCCCCCCCCACCTGGTTTTTATACTGAGCATGATGTCACATGGTATAGAATACCCCATTGGCCAGCTGGGTCCACCACCCCGGCTGTGCTCCGCCCACCCCGTGCGAGCATCACCCAGCAACAGCCAAAGCATCAGTGGGCCATCAACGCTCCTTTCATACCAAACCCAAAACACAGCACAGCCCCCAAGCTACTGGGAAGAAAGTTAACTCTGTCCCAGCCGGAACCAGGACAACAACCCACCACTCCTGGGCTGTTTCCAGGGTCATAAAGATGGGTCTTATCACAGCTTTTTAGTTGTGATAGAGTTATCCCTGCATTTCCAGCTTTCACTGTAGCCCTCCTCTCCACTGTGTCCCAGAGCACTCTGCCAGTCACAAAATCTCCTGACAGGCCCTTTGCTTCTGGAGACCTGGAGCTGAGACCCTGCCTCAGTGAATCAGGATTCTTTCTGAAGAAGAGCAGATATGAGGATGCAGGAACAGAGAACCTAAGCAGCTGGGCTTCTCCCCATCTCCCAGGCAGCCCAAAAAGGGAGGAGGAGGGCTGAGATCCTTTTGCGATGGTCCCTGTCACTGAAGTATGGGTAAACCTAGGTTGGAAGGATCTGTGGAAGTCATTTTGTCCAGCCTCCTGCTCAAAACAGAGCAGCCACCCGACTAGATCAGGTCAGCTGTCTAGTGGTGGCGTTTAGCCAAGGATGGTGATGCCACAACCTCTCCAAGTAACCTGTTCCAATGCTGCACAACCCTCCTTGGGAAAATGTTTCCCTAATGGCTTGTGGGATGGGGTTTGGTTAGGGACTGGAAAATGAGGGTCTGAAGAGTGGTGCTTCCTCCAGATAGCCACTTAATGCACACATACAGACTGAAAGGTGGGGTTGAAAATGGTAGTGGTGGTAGGAGGGACTTTGTGACTGGCAATACTACTCACTGGTTTGGTCAGGGGTAGTCTATGGTTTGTGGCTGGGTTAAGATTAATCTTTCAGGATTACAACCTCTTTCCCCAGGATTTTTGCTTAGCCTGAAAAGTAAAGAGGAAAGCTAAGAGACTCATGGTTTGAGCTTCATACTGGGCTGGGCTCTTTCTCCATAGTATGGTGCAGCCACTGTAGTAATGCCTAAAACAAAACCTGAATAATCGGGATGAAGGGGTGAAAAGTGATGCTTTCGGTGCCAGTTCTGTTATAGTAAATGAGGTTTTTATAAGGCTATTCTAACATCCATTCAGCTCTCTGTATCCTGCTTGGTTGGTCTACAGCTTCTACAACTCCTAACCGTAGTCCTAATACCTAAATTTGCTGGAATTTAGGTATAAGGATATTTTTGTTGGGGTCTTAGAAGTGATTTTTACAGAAAGGAGACAGAATGAACGGGTTTGGGGCAGGACAAAGAATGGAGGAACGTATATATTTTAAAGGGTTATTGAAAATTTTTACAGGGAAGAGGAAAATGGAATTGTAAAGTTGAGAACCACTGGGTTATATATTTATTAGCTAACTGGCTTCTGCTGCTGCAGTCCCAGAGGCCTTCAGGGTGATCTGTCATGAAGGACTGGAATGTCTTGTGTTGCCATGAAATTGTCACATTTTTGCAAACTTGTCAAATCCTGCACAACACTGAGAAATTCATGTCCTGGAAACTCACGCATATAATCTGGTTTTGAATACCATGCACGTCCCTAATCTACTTTAATCCCTGGAAAACCCATTCTTCATTCTAGATGATAGAAGCAAAAAGTCTTTTCAAACTTGATTTACAGGTAGTTTCTTAAATTGTTCCCTTAAAGCAGATGTTTCCTTGACTGAGTTTGTTTTTTTTTTCCAAGCAGCAAAGACCAAGGAGGAATTACTGTGTCCATCTCAGGACTGTTTATTGCAGTTATCTTCAAAGTGTCAAGGAATAGCACAGGCCGCTTGTCCATGTTGCTACACAGTTGCCAGCTGAGCATTAATAGTGTAAAAGTCAAGTTAAATGGAGGATCTAGGTATGTACAGTAGATTTTCTAATTACTCTGTGCAAAGTAGCAGGGTTTGTAGCATAAGGGCCATTTTTCAAATTTTGACTTCTAGGCATCCAGTTACAGGATACAACTATTGAAGGCTATGAAAAGAGATTTTTAAAGGTCTGTTTTCAAAACCAGGCTTCTTTGCTGAGTGTGTTAAGTTTGGTTAATCTACACTTCTTTGTGCATGTGCCAACAAATGAGCTGACTAAACATACTGCATGTGAAAAAAATGCCATTTGGGCATATTAAAGAATACAAGATTGCAAATGGAGGTTTACAGATATGAAGGTGGTCTAGACTGATTATGCCTTTTGACAAACTGACCTACAATTTCAGAATAAAGCTTTCAAAAGAGAATATGAAACAATGCTTGTAGTTCTCATTTTGATTTTCTAGAATTTTTTTTTGTCTTACTCAAAGGCAAAATATGGCTAATTCAGTATTGTTTATCAACACGTTAACATGAACATTCACTACTTTGCAGATTGCCTTCTAAATAGGTCTTATGAGACTGAGAACCCCTAGCATTTGTCTGAGACTCACAAATTAATAAAAACAGTCAAACTGCACAATCTACCAATATCCCTGTAATTGTGTCTCATTAATATAAATGACATTGATGTCCCAGTCTGCCAGATTTTATATTTCAAAGATTTCAATCCATGGTAAAAAGTCATCGTGTTCACTTCCTTTCCTCCAGCTGGATCTATAGCTTTCTATCTGGTTATCTTGAGAAGCCCATTCACACCAAATTGGATAAAAATGTAAGTTTGCAAAGATGGTTTCAGCTAGTGAGGGAGGAGTTGAAATACAGCCCTTACATTACTGACTTGCCTCTCTTTTCATATAGCTATGCCTAAATATCAAAAACAAAATCCAAATGATGGATGCACAGCTAAGAAAGCATAAGGGTGAGTTGTTGATAGCAGCTTTTTGTTAAGTAATTTTCATAATGCTCAAATTGTAGCCTTTTTTATTAGATGACAAACCATTCCTGTGTTCATGGTACAAAAAATGTGAAGGAAGAAAAATACAGCCATTGTTCTGTACCTTAATGTATTCCAGAGTCCACTCTAGAAATCTCTTGCATGCACCTTATACACAATATTCAGATTTCTTCTGTGTCCATAGCAGGTCACCTGTAATCTTTCAGTCTGTTGTAGCTGTCCTGTGTTATTTCCTTAGATTTTTGAGATGAACATTTTCATGCTGATCCTTATCCTCTTGGTACTGTGGACATAAGAAAAACTGGGTTAACAGTAATCCACTAAAGAGCTAGCAAACATCCCTGTAAGAGCTCGTAAACTTAGCACGTCTTGTTTTGAACTTGAGTTCAGTGAGATAACAAGATGCTGCAGGAAGACAGCATCACACTAAGCATGGTTCTCTTCACACCAGTAACAATTCCTGTGTCACTCTTGCAGAGACATGAAGATGATAGATATCTGTGTCCAAAAAGATTTTCACTTCTATAATAAATCCCACAGGTTTTCTTTGTTTTTTTGCTTTTTTGTAGTTGTTGTTTTTTTCTGAGACCAAGAATATTTGTAGTTTTCGCCAATTCAAATTAATTTAATTCACCTAAGTCATATAATTCAGGTCAGAGAGTTTGTTACCACTCTTCACTTTGCATTGTGGATATTTCCATTATCTGCTCTGTTATTCAGAAGCAGAGTAAGTAGACTTTTATTTTTCCTAAAATGGCCTATACCTGCCATGTGCCAAGCAGTGGCAAATATTACTGAAAATCATGGTCATCAAGAACATTTTTTTATGCAGCACATACCTAAACACTTCAGATTCAAGGGCACTCCAAGCTGTGGTCATATTGAGGAGTTCCTAATCTCTGTGTGAATTCACCATTTCTCTTTAAACCCATATGATTTTTATATATTATGAACAGACCTTACAGTCCAATCAAAAATAACAATCAGACTGAATTTGCATGGGAGCACCTTTCAGAAAAAGTCTTCAATCATATTGTCTGATAAAGCCCTCTATTGTTGTGAACAAACATCCCTTGTCTTCAACACTGATATGCATAAAAATGTGCTAATGTCATCTTCCAAAGTATTTAGTAGTATTTACCAGTATTTCACTAATCATATAGGAGAGCTTAGTTCTCTTGTGCAAACACATAACAAAAAAGGGGACTCTGCCCTAGATACTCCTTCTTTCACTGCATGGGAGAGATTTCCGAGGAGTGTATTCAGTTGTGAACAACAGAACAAGGCCTAAATCAGGACGAATCGGCAACTTTTTCAGAGGGAATATTCTCACTTTTTCCCTTACAACAAGCTTTTTTTATTTTCTTCTTCCGTCTCCCACCATTATTCTTCTTCAGATTCATCATTTCTATAATGTCTTTGCCTATAACTAAACAATAAATGTTTTGTGATGTGTTTTTGTAATAACAGCTGTTTTGTTTTTGTCCATCATTCTTCTAGTCTTAAGCCAGATTGATGCCTTTGCACAAATAGACTATTCCCTAGTTAGTTCTCCAGCAGTCTTCAAATCACACATTAACTTGGATTTGAAGGTAATTTGTCTTCAATATCAGTGTGCTTTCTAAGACTTTTCTGGTTCTCTTTTGTGTTGATTCATTTTCTTTCACTACAATCTTATTCAGCCTCTCCAATATTTAATTAGAAAAGCAGTAAGACACTTGGACATTTTGGTCAAGAGATATTTTGGAAACCAGATACGATTGTTTATTTAATAAATTAACTGCATTTGTTAATTAACCAAAGCTATTATTTAGAATTAAATTATTTCAGAGTTGAAACAGTTCAGAGGTGCTTTATAAACAGCATAAAAATGTTCTTTAGATTCACAGTTCTTCCACTGCTGCTTGTTCTTTGCCTGTTACCGGTGATACATAATCCATGACAGCTACCAATGTGATTGCAATCCGAAGCATTTGTTTTGAGATGACTTGTATATGTCTTGTATATGTACAGATCACACCCAAAAAAAAGACTTCTCACAGACAGTCCTTGAGCAGCACACAGCAGTTCCTTCCTTATCTATTTTTCACCTTTGTTGGCAAGAGATATCTCAGCAATGCCCAGCTTTTCCAGCAGCTTCAAAAGTCCTTGTAATTCAGAGCATCCCCATGGCTCTCAGAACTGACTTCAGTTAAGAAAGATGTGCTAGAGCTGTGGTTGAAACTTTCCCTCTTGGTTATTTTGTTCAAGCAACCTTTACCACCCACAAAAAAACACTCTGCCAGCAGGATATACATCGCTTAAAAGTACTAAGCAATTATTTATCAGCTACTGTAGCTAACTAGAACTTACAGGCTAAGCTTTAACATGCTGACATCCTGATGGGATACCAGATAAGTCTTTGTAAGTCAGTTATTAATCAGTTAAGGAAGTTACTGGTCTTCAGTGCTCCTTGGAACAGGCTGATTCTTGATGGTTATGAGTTGCCATCTTCCAACTCTCAAATTTTTTCTTGGGGTTTTATACCTTTTCATGTCAGTATTTTTCCTGTTGCATCTTTCAGCTACTAACCATTACAGTGTCAGTAATTACACTACTTACTGTCTGTTCTTACTTTTCTTGTCTTACATGGCCTGAGCTCACATTCCTTCTCACATTTTAAGAATTATTTTCTTAGTATAACTGAACCAAAGTCCTACACCTCTGCAGCACCCAAACTAGGTCTTGGAGGACCAGCAGCTGGACCAGGGCTACGAGTTAGTTGGTATAAAAGACTCCTTTGTGTCCCTGTCCTAAGCAACTTCCAGAGCTTTTGGGATGTGCCTGAAGATTTTCTTGAAATGTCACCCTTAGAATTAAATTAACAAATGTGTCTTTGCCACAAGAGAAAGAAGACTGTGGTCCAGAGGATTTTTTTTGTGTCTCATAGCTGTAGTTCAGAATACTGACTTGAATGCTCAAATTCAAACTCTGAAAGGATGGAGGCCAGATTTTCTCTGTGATTCCTTGTATTTTTCCAAAAGAGCCTGAATTTGCTGATTTTCAGGGCATATCACAAACTTATTTGCTTACTTCAGGTTTTCTTTAATGTCAAACTTTTCTTCAGATTAGGAAGAATTCTTTCTGTTCAACCACTGCTAATGCATTCTGACAGATACAACTGTTTATGACTAGAAGTACTTGATAATGACTCTTTGCAGGGCACAGTCTATCCAGTAGGAAATCACACAGACCCTCCCTTTGTGCCAGCTCCATTTGCTCTCCCAAACCAGGGTGATTCCATGCTATACCTGGGAGTCTCCAGTTATTTTCTTAAGTCTGCTTCACTGGCTTACTACAGAGCAGGGGCCTTTAACATCATCATCTCTGAAGAGGTGAGTATAATTTGCATGTAATAGAACTATAAATATCAGCACTATGGATAGTCAGCAAAGGAGACTAACACATTATGTTTGCCATTTCACACAGATTTGGGTCATACTTCTACCACCTGTAGGAGGGATTCATGACGTTCATTCTGTATGTCATCATTTAAAATAGTCAAAGTCTCCCTCAGACCTAAATCTGAACTTCTTGGCAGCTCTAGGCAAGGAATGACAGATATGAACATCACAGAGTTGGTGTGCAAGGAGTGGCAGAAAGAACCAAAAAACTTTTCTCTGCATGGATTCCACATAGGAGAGGAAAGGGCAAGACAGGAAAAAGTGTACTGAAGACACAGTCTGCTGCATAGAGGCCCACAACAAACATATTGGCTGTGTTGAGAGCTAGAATAAACCCTCAGACTTAACAGAGCAGCAAAATGAGGCAAGAAAAAGGTACAAGGAAACTAAGCTTTCAGCTGTGGGTGAAGAACATACAAGACTTCTCTCAGAAATGCTGTTTCCACATTGGCATTAGTAGTCAGAGTTTCCAAGAAGTTTTGCTACCTGAAACAGTGTGAAGAGGGTCTTTATAAAAATTCGTGACACAAATGGCACTGACAAACACCGTCACAGTGATCAGCAGAAAAAGGGCAAATGAGATTTTTGAGTCCTGGCTCTGACAGATTCAGTATATTTCGTCTAAGAAAGTCCCAAAGGCAGGAATTAAGCCACGTCTGTTCTTTCAAAGAATAATGCTTGTTTACTGGTACGTGCTTCTGAAACATGTCCATGAGAAATCTGTCTCTATTCTATCCCACAGAGCACTGTGGGTTCCCTAGGAATCATTCTGGGGCCAGGAAATACTAAATCAAAACATGGATTATCTAAAACTAAAGTAGACAGGATATGTTTTCTTTCCCAAGAAAAACCTCATTTTCAAACTGATATAATGATCTAATTTATTTCATTTGTTTACAGCTTGCTACTACTTTTAACTTACATACCACCTTATTCAAAGATTTTGTTCCTGAGGTGGGTACTTTTAGTTGTACAGACCTTTTAAGAACGAGCAGTAGCTAATGTTTCTTATGGATATTATCCGTGTACTAACTCATTTGCAAAAGTTTGGAGGAGACAAGGAAACTGAGCTGGTTTGTGATTATTGTAAGATTCAAACATACATGCCTACCCCATCATAACTCTATGTTCTTCCTAACTATATCAGACTACTCTGTAGTCGTTCTCTACCCCTCTAAGTGTTGGATTTGCTTTCAGTCTCTGAAACAGTTATAAAGACTAAGTGGTAGACATCTGTGAGATCAGTCTCCTTTTATTCCTGTTCAGGGTAATGATATCTCTGCTATTGGTAGCCTGACTTCTCTATGCAAAGATACCTGATTTATGACTACTGGAGATTATATACAGTGGGAAGTAATAGTCATGAGTAGCTAAGTTTATAAATGTGATGCAAGAAATTAAGATACTATGAGATGCTTTAAAAATTCCTAATATGTCAACATTTACTATAAAGTTATGAAATTTGGAATCTGTGGCATTGCAAACTAAAGTTTTGTCCTCTAGGAGTTTCTCTATTTTTCAAAACATTGGCTGTTTTGGAAGGCTGCCTCTTTTCCAAAATCCTTATATTGTCAGGGTCATTAATTTTTTTTTACTGGAATCACTCATTTCCCTCATTTCTTTAACACGCAGTGCTAATCCCCTCCTCTTGAAATAGAGTTTTCAGGAACAACCTTTAAATTATTTCTCTATATATGTTCAATATCGGTGGGTCTAAAACTTCATGATTTGTTTTTTGGTCTCTGACACTCAGAGTATATGCAATGCTAATTTCGTCATTTCAGTTGATGTGATTAAAATGAAGTAATTTTAATATAGGTTAATTAACAAGAAGATTGGTATATAGCACCTGATTATGATGCAGCCACAGAAACTGTAACTTAAGAGAAGCTTAACTCTGCATTCAACGTTTTTTTCGTCTTTGAAATTCCACAGATTGCTCTGAGTTACGTAACAGCGTGCCCAGTGCTGCTGAAGCTGATGGCTACATCACCACCTGCGGTCAGTTTACATGCAGACAGATGCATCCTACAGATCACTGGCTGTGTAGAAGTGTTTGCTGTTCTGCCAAATTCAACTACCCAGTACATCTTTACAGGGAATCTAGTAAGTAACATGAGCTAGAAGATAACATTCAGTGCTGGGGCTGAACAAATCACAGTGCTGTCACAGAACAAATCTTCCAAATCCTTTGAAAATCATAGGGATCAGCATAAAATAGCATATATTGTTCTGCCACAAATATGCATACTGTTCTGTTGCATTTCACAGGGAGGAAACATGCACCACGTATTGCAGAATTTAGTAGGCAGGTGCAGAGAGCTCCTTATGAAAGCCCTGTTTTCCACATGGGAGGTTGAGTGATTATTCAAGAAAAAACTGTAATATATAAAAATGTGATTATCTGATGCCCAGTCTTCCTAACTTGTTTGTTGTAAAATAGTTCAGTGTGTCCCCAGACATCTTTTCATTAGGTTGAAAGTGAACCAATTATATCAGCCATGCAAGGACTTAAATGATCCTAATGATAAGGAGACAATCAGGGCTGTATTATCACTTCGCTCACACAATCTCAGCTGCTGGCAGAAAGCAGCAAATTCACAAATGATTTTACTATCTACATGTATTGACCAAATAAAAAGTTTAGACACTGTGTTTCCAATCACAAAAGCAATTGCATTTGTGCCTGTATCTAAGACAGTATCTATCTGTGTATACAGTCACAGAAGACTGTTTTGTTTTTTTCCCTGCAGACAGCCAGTACCAGAGCCAATTTGACAATAACCAAACAGAAGTTGATTATCTCATTACTTCTGAAAAGGTAACCAAGGAAAATTCAGAAAGCAACATTAATGATCCAAACATTAGGACACCACAGAACTTCATTGTGTCAGCCTGACAGTGCTTGTTTCACAATGAGAAAAAGAAAATTAGTTACCTTCTTTCTTACAGGGGCTCTAAGATACTTTTGACTGGTTGGTCTAAACCTTGCAGATGAAATATAATAATATTGTGGAACGACCATGTCTCTTGTGCAACATGATACTACCCCTTTCTGTAGGTTAAATACCTTTCCAGATAGCAATGTTCAATTTAGTGGTTATCTTAAAGACACCTGTTTCAGTCTGTGCTGATATTGGAGAATTAAGTTTAGTAGTTTATTTGAAACCCTCTAAATGTTGCTGCCATGCCATGTCTGAGCATCATAAACAGAACTGCCAGCATGCAAACACTGCACGGGACCACTGTAACTAGTTCTCTGTATGCCTTCACATGAGGGGAAGGGAAAAGTGAGACTACATAGCACATACTGCAACAGCAGACACCATGCCATCAAACAAATGAGACCAGAAAGGTGTCTGTGAAGCAAAGTTCAGAGCCTTTTAGATTTTGCTTAGATCTTGCTGGTTTTGTGGTTAGCTACAGTTATAGGTGTTCTCAGCTATCTTATAACAAATTTTATTCACACTTCAAGCTGGGCTGGGTTTACAGCCCCTTTCTCCCTAAATGCACCAGATGGGTAGAAGCACAGACTTTCAGGCAAGTAGCCCACATTGGTGTTTCTTCTTGTTAGCTCTGTACTCCAAGTTGGGGCAGAATTCCAGAATATATGATATTTTTTAACCTATTACATTTTCATTAAAGAAAAATGTGAGCCGCCTTTTCTTAGTTTTGATCTCTGGACCTTTTTAACAGGAAAAGAGGACTTGGAGTGATCAGAGCCTGTCAGTATAAGTTTAAGAAGTAACGGTGCCACTCACTTAGAGCTTTTGACACAAGAATGTGTTCTTCTGTTTGTCAAAATGTTGTTTTTCCCCAGGATTGCATTTACAGTAATCTGAGGATGCTTTACAACATCAGTGGAAAAAGTTAGGAAATCATAATGCTTAGGAATTGATATGAGATTGTTCAAATCATAACGAACATTTGAGGAATGTGTAGTTCAGCCAGGAAATGGCAATTCCAGAAAAATTTGATCTCCCAAGTCTTATAGTCACATACCAGGACTACACATGACTATAGGAGGATATTACTATCAGAAAGATCCCAGTGATTCTAGAACTCATTTGTAGTTGTCCCAGTTTTGATTAAAAGCTGTTGGAAATCAAAGAGTCTTTGGCAAAGTTAAATGTGTGAATCAGCCTTACATCAGTATGAAATTCCACAAATGAATCTTCAAGCAGTGTGCATAACTTGTGCCTTCACCCTTTCTAGTGAATCCTCTTCTTTTACTTCTTTTCTTCAGGCTCCAGTTCTCCCTGCTGCACTCCACTCTTCGCTTCTCTGAAGTAAGTTGATGGTTTTAGCGCCTCGGAGAGGTAGCTGAGCACTTCAGAGATAAAAGAAATTCATCTGAACTTGTTGCTGGACAATTCTTGGTCTGTCTTGGGGGTATCATCTGCCACTGCTCTTTTTGCTTTGAAATAGTATAATCTCTGCTTTTCTTTTTCTTTCCAGTAAGAGGAAATACCCCTTGGAGTGTTGGGGTTTTTTCTCATCAGAGGCTCCAAATGTTATGGAGTTATTACCACATAACATTAATTGAAACAGAGAGAAATGTCTGCCTGGGTCTGCATGACCTAGCAAGCCATCATAGATGATTCTGCTCACTTCTCTATCCAGCAGCACAAAGGCAGGCATGGGGCTAGCACCTCTTCTAGCTGTTTCTGACAGCCAGCCTGAATTCACAGCTGGATTGAGTAGGCGTAGCAGTTGGAGTGAATACAAAGTCAGGCTTAAGCTCAGTTTCAGGAATTATCTTGAATCACTTCAACCAAATATCACAAAAAGGCGAGTCAAAAATAGGGAACAAAAGAAACACCATGATACTGCTTAGATCATTCACTGTAGACTGAGAAACGGTCAGCGCAACTCTGCAGCAGCTCAGCCCAACCTACATCTTTAAGTGAAGGGAGGGGGACACTAATCATAGTGGCATAAGACAGAGCACCGGGACAGGGCAGTTCTTGCCACCAAGAGAACAGTTCACTTCTGAGAACTGAGTCCTGGCAGCTGAAATGGGGTTGAACAGATTTCGTTCCTAAAGTTAAGGTTCAACCCAGATACTTCACATACAGAAAAAGAAAAAAAAAGACTTCAATTTAACTTATTGTGAGAAAAATGGACACCTCTTTGCCATGTATATTTTACATTGTTCAGCTGCAACTTAAAACAAAAAAGATCTTTTATACCTGAGATTTTCTCTGCCAAGCTCTGTTCTGATCTTTTTGTATGTCACTCCAGTTCTAACCCTCCATCTCCCCCGTCAAGCTGCAATCCCATAGGCATCAGGCAATAATCATCAAATGTGTTTTCCCCCTCACAGCAGATGTCACTGGTGGAGAATTTTCTGTCTTACGCTTTACAGAGTGCAGTGATCCCAAGAATCAATGGTAAGGATTGTGGCCAGTTCCTGAACACAGTTGGTGGGAAAGCAAGACTGAAACCATAGAATGGAGTGCCCAGCTTTAAAGACTGTGTTATGGGAGGTTTTCTGTCCGTTTGGCTATACCTGGACAGGTCTACTCTGTGCTGGACTTCAGTCCTTGTCCCTCAGTCACCTGGATCAGGGGCTGGGACAGAGCAAGTCTTGGCTCCCTTCCAAACACTGGGCTTGGGTTTCCTTTTCACTGGATGCAGCGTGGCAGCAGAGCTGAGACATGCTTGAGTCTCATCCTGACACGGAGTCAAGCCATGACCAGAGAATGGCCCAGACTGGGGAAGCGCAGAAGCACGCTTGCATCTTGGGGCTTCGGGGCAGCATCTGTAGCTTTATGACCTCCCTCTGCCTTTGTGCTTCACCTGCTGCCACAGGCCGGACAAAGTAGAAAATCATCTCAGTGGGATGCAGAGAGTGAAGGATGATAAAGAAAGAGGTTAAGGTGTAAAGAAGCAGGTGGAAGAGTACAGAACGTGCCTTTGAGGTAAACAGAGATGAGGAGACTGCTGAGGAAGGAAGTGAGTAATTGATGAGGAGAAAGAAAGGAGAATGAAAGGGAGGGATGCAAAAGTCAGTTGTTTGGAAAAGCAAATAGGAATAGAGCTGGGGCTTGATCCAGGAAAGTAGGGATAGATGAGAATAAGAGGACCCACAGGATTAGAGGTAGAAAAGAAAATGAAAGGAAGATGGAGAATGAAGTCAGAGCGGGAAACAGCAGAAACCAGATCTTGTGGGGAAGATACCTGGAGAGGAGCAGAGGCAGTCAGATCCCAGTGTCAGACAGTTGACAGATTGTAAGAGGTTTGTATGCAACTTTTTCACAGGATTTTTTGCTTTTTAGTGAATATGAACAATAGCTCCTTTGAGAGGCAAAAGGACAGCTGATTAAAGGGGAATTGCAAAACAAATTGAATTCCTTGAGAAAGATGCTTCTGAAGTGCATTTAAGTGCATTACACTTAAATACATTCAAATGTATTTATATTTGTCCTTTCCGAAGATAAACTAGGAAAAGGATTTCCTCTTCTTAACTTGGCCCACACTACCCTGACTGGACCTGTAATAAAAATGAATCAGGTGAGAAGCCCGATTTCTTGTTAAAGAATATTGCTTCTTTTTCAGGCCTGTGCATTTGTGTGTGTTCCTGTGTTGGGTGGATCTAAATGTTGCTAGTAGTAAAGCATTAACTATACACTAGATATAAAATCCAAACTCTGGATCAAAAACAAGCTCTCCACCCCCCCCCAACCCCTAGCAGTTGTAGGTTATAAAGGGTCCACTAGCCCTTTGGGGTATGCCAGCATGGGGACACCACAAGGACAGCTCTGCTATCCCAGCAGAGCTTAGGAGCATTGAGTGCATAAGTCCTCACTACTCTGACCATTCTCTAGGGAAGCTCGTAGGCAAGCCGAGTGTCTCTGTGATAAGAGTTACTCAGCCTTTTGGAGGGTTGTATTAACTTACATCAGAGCCCATTCCTACCCTAAAGTTAATTAAAGTTCAGGAGGCATAAAGCCACTCTTGTCTCCTGTCCTTCTGAGGGGCTTACCATGGGATCTAGTCCCAGAGTACTGACCCTGAATACGTCCGTCTGAAATTTAAGGTAATTTTACATGTCCTTCTTTCCTCAGGGTCATCTGGTGATTGCCACTGATGTTCACTACAAACATGAGGAAGGGGGAGATGAGGACCTTCACAGTCACTCCTAATGTCCCTTTACTTTTAAACAATAATAAGAGAAAAATGTAGTCTTCCTTCTGTTCGCTTGTAGGAAGTAGATGCTATAACATTAGAAGCATGGCTTTTCGTCGCTATTTTTAATGTTTTAGTAAAACTTCTTAATCACTTTTCACAAACTGAATCTGTTGGTTTTTAGTACAGTGAGTATAGCTGACAGTGTTATTGATGCTTTAGAAAACTTGTTGCAGCCTAATGAGAAAGAGTGACTGGTTCTTTTCACTGGAGTTAGAGACACCACATTTTATTAATTTTAGGAACCAGTACTTGCATTATTCAATTTATCTCCATTATTGTTAGCTAAACTTTGTGTGTGGAGTGAGACCTTATTCTTCGTAAGAATTTCACAATTTGTTCCTTTGTAACTGGATGCCAAGAGTGGGAACAGATTTATGAAATCCAATGGATTATCATAGAATTAGAGAATCATATCATCTAGTCCAGACCCTGGCTCAAAACAGGACTAATTAGATCACGTTGCTGAGGGCTGTGTCCAGTCGAGTGTTGAACCCCTCCAAGGATGGAGTTCCCCAACCTCTCTGGGCAACCTGTTCCACTATTTAACTACCTTCAGAGTAAAATTTTTTTCCTAGTATCTAATCAGCATTTCCCGTGTTCCAACTTGTTCTGTTGCCTTTTGTCCTATCACCACACACTTCCAAGAAGAGTCTGGCTCCATTTTCTCTGTGTTCTCTGATCAAAAAGTTGTAGACAACAAAAAGGTCTTTCAAGCCCTCTCTTCTTCAAGCTGAACAGGCCTGATCTTTCAGACTGTCTTTGTAGGTCATGTTCTCCAGCCCCCTTGGTGGTACCTGCTGGACTTGATCCAGGATGTCAATATCCTTCTTGTACTGGGGAGCCCAAACTGGACACAGTACTCCAAGTGCAAGTGTCAAATAGAGGGGGGGTATATCACTTACCTGGACCTGCAGACTTATGTTCAACTAGGAATCCAGATCCTTTTCTGCAGAGCTGCATTCTAAACAGCCACCAGCCTGTACTGCTGCAGGGAGTTATTCCCTCCCAGATGAAAGACTTCACACTTTTTAACTTTATGTGGTTCCTGTCAGCTCACTTCTCCAGCTTGTCCAGGTTTCTCTAAATAGAAGCCCTGCCCTCCAGCATGTTGACTGCTCCCCCCAATTTTGTGTCATTCACAAACTTGCCAAGAGTGCACCCTGTCCCATCATCCATTAAACAGTATTGGTCACAGTACTGATTCCTGTGGGACCTCCACTGGTCAACAGATGGACTTTGCTGATCACACCTCTTTGATTCTGGCAGTCCAGCCAATTTTCCACCTACCTTCTCCAGCCCATATGTCACCAAATTGGTAATGAGACTAAGGGAGACTGTGACAAAGGCCTTGCTGTGTCAAGGTATAGAACATCCTACTGCCCTCCCCTTGTCTACAGTACCAGTCAGCTCATCACAGAAAGCAATGAAGTTGGTCAGGAATGGTCTGCCCTTGGAAAACCCATGCTGGCTGCTCCCAGTCACTTTCTTATCCTTCATATGCTTTAGAAATGGCTTCTAAGACATTTTGCTCCATAACCTTCCCAGGGACTGAGGTGAGACTGACTTCTCTGGATTGAAGACAGGTGTGATGCCTGCCTTTTTCCAGTCACGAGGAACCTCTCTCAAGTGCCATGACTTTTTGAAGGTAATAGCAGCTTCACAATGAGATCAGCCAGGCAGAACCTTCAGCACCTCCAGATGCATCCTGTCCAGTCCTATGGATTTGTGTATGTCCAAGTGGGTTAAGTGATCCTGAACTCTGTCTTCCTCTGCTGTGGGTGCTGCCTCACTCTCACAGACTCTGCTAGGAGCTCAGCGACCTGGGAGGCCAGAGGACAAGTCTTGCTAGTAAAAACAGCCTTTTCTCTGTCTCTTGTCACTAGTCGGCCCACTGAGCAATAAGCCCACATTCTCCTTAGCCTTCCTTTTGCTATCGATGTATTTACGATGTACAAAACCTTTCCTGTTGCCCTTCACCTCCCAAACTAATTTCAGCTCCAACTGAACTTTGGCTTTCCTGACTTCATTCCTACATGTGCAAGCAATATCTTTGTGTTCCTTCCAAGTAGCTGGTCTCAGTTTCCATCATCTGTATGCTTATTTTTTCTGTTTGAGTTCACTCAGGAGCTCCATGTTCATCCATCCTGGCCTTCTGCCACAGTTGCTCAACTGTCTGAACATTGTAATGGACCATTCTTATGTTCTGAGGCGGCTGCCCTTGAAGATTAGCCAGCTTTTCTGGGCCTCTGCTCTCCAGGGCAATTTCCCACAGATCCTGCCAAGCAGGTCCCTGAAATCTGCTCATCTGAAGTCTATGGCTGTAATTCTATTCTTTGTCTTGTTCGCTCCTCCCAGGATCTGAAACTCCACAGTCTCATGCTCACTGCAGCCAAGGCTGCCCTTGGCGTTTACATCCAGCAGTTCTTCGTTGTTTGTGAGTAGCTGCAGCTTTTTGAGGGTATCGATCTCCAAATAATTCTGTACCTCTCATATTTGTAAAATGGAGCTGGAAGCTTTCTTATGTCAGTGTCACCAGAGACATTCAACCAGGAGATATTAGAAGTGTATGGAAAGGAAAACTAGTCTACAAATGTCACACTACAGAAAGTTCAGTTTCAACTTGGGACAGAAATGTGGCTTGCGTTTGATTTTAGCTGAATCAGTTTATTTATCTAGCTGGCTGCTACAGTTTTTTACTAAAAAAAAGCATCCTAAAACCAAACAGCAGTAAATCACAGCAGGGCTTCCAATTCATTGTATTCTGTGGTAGGTGAAGAGTGACTAGAAAAAGAATGGAAGAAGAACAACTCAAAAGAAATTGAGATTTTTAAATACTTTGGTGTCCTTCACGGATAACACTTCAGGCACTTTCTTCTGCCTATTTGGCGGAGAATTCATGAGATGGGGAAAAAGAGAACTAAAGCTCCGGTGCCCATCTCTTCTTTCTTCTAATGGGACACATTCTCCAGGACCAACCAACGTGTGCCATGGCTTGATGGGCCTTTTCAAACCAGAGCCATGGCTTAGCACGACACTGCCCCTTAAGCTTTAGTCCTCTGGCTGTTGTTCACAAAGTGATGAAGTAGTAGTTTCTCCGAGGACTAAAGAGGATGCTGTATACACGGAGAGTTCCCCTGTATCATCCTATACTTACCTACTGGTCAGTATACCATTTTTGATCCAGTATTGTTTCCCAGTTGACAGAACAATTGAAATGATGCATGTCCCTCAGTGTGCCACTGACTAGATGGAGAAAGGGGAGAATTGGGGAGGCAGAGAATTGGGGAGGCAGGGAGGAGCACTGAGCCAGAGGCAACAACTGGAATCATGCAAAGCCAAAGTGATCTGCAGAAATGCAGCAACAAGTCTCCATTGATTGCCATACTGATAAGCTCATTGGGTTTCTTGTATGGTGAGTAAAAAGGATGGCAATCTATATCCCCTTTAGCATATAGACTGAAGCAAATGCTTGGTGGCTCAACAGAGAAAATTGAAATAAAACATTCCTTTTAGAGGAATGCCTCCTTTTAGAGGCTCTTTTTAATACCTTGAAAGGTAAAAAGTTTGGGTGTAGAAACTATTTATAGCATATTTGAATGTGCTATCTGAATGTGTCTGCAAGCAGATATTTGGCTTTTACTGCTATATTTGTAGAAAGAAATGACTAAACTGTTCTGGAAGCCTTAGTCTGTCTTTGTTAACTTTTGCTGAAAATTTTATCTAAACTGGGTGGTACTCCATTAGAAGAACCATAAAATGTTAAAAGGATATGATGAGGATAAGCTGAGATAGTTTTCAAACAATTCAGTTGTTTGTAAATCTTGGAGATCTCTGTGGATGGAAACTGGAGCTTTTCCCTTGCTTTCTGCAGAACTTGTGCAAAAAATTTAAAGGAGAGGTTTATGTAGCTGAGGGTGTGATTTTTATTCATCCTCAGTTGCCAGAGATATAAATAATGAAATTATTATGCATGTGACTCCCTGCAGTGAATGTTAAATCTGTGTAAAGTATGAGTATTTGTTGACTGACTGACAACTACCCTTTTCTATTCATGGATTGCACAATGAAGTGACTCAGATTGTCCAGCAAAGTGCTCCATGCCTGAGGGAATTTGCTTGGTTTACATGCAAGCTAACTGATTAAATCACCTCTTTGACAAGCCAAGTAGTACTGGTTAGCTGAAGTACTGGTTAACTGGATAAGCAAGCAGAAGAAATAGAAAATATTGACTGCAAGGACTCGATACTATATATTTGCATCATATATATATTCACTGTAGAATATATAGACTATAATATAAATACTATATAATTTATGGTTTTCTGTATCCTGAGCAATTTCAGAACAAATAGGCCTAGACAGTTGTCTTCCATCTGTTCCTCCCAGCAGTGGCACATTCATTTATTTCTTTCACAATACAGACCGGGCTATGAGTATCAGTCCTGTGGAACTACTGGAATCGAGTCTCCTCTGGGGTTTTCTCTCAGGTCCATCTGAGAAGTCAGTGCCAAAACATATGCCACAAAGGCAGCATGTCGCCCCAAGCTCAGCATCCCGGCGCCTGAGCACCCCCACCCAACAGTTTACATTGCGCTCTGCTTAGTCCCTAAATGAAATTAGAGTGATAGATTTAACGTGGGACACCCAAAATAGTTTGGGACATGATTACCGGAGAGACCACTCCCTGCGTGATACTGCTGAAGATGGCAGCAATTGGCTCTCTTCAAGCTCACAGCACTTTGCTTTAAAAGACGGGATCTTAGCTGCAGAGGGTTTTCCATTCAGCATCCTCACCCCTGGGGTCTGGTGCAGCAAGGGCCTTCTCTTCGGCCTTCGGAGGAGAGGTATGGTAACAAATACATTGTGATTATTCTTTGTTGTGGAGTGACTTTGTTGGGAAGAGATAGATGTAGCTAAATCTCGCTAAATTTTGAGATTTTAAGTTATAAGAACT